GAGGTGAAACAGACCACTGCTTGACATTTCCCTGCTGTCTCAATCCAGGCTGCTCCAGGGGCGATGGAGTCGACAGAGAAAACTGGCTTGGTCCGTCTCCACCGTGACCTCCAGAGACAACCCTGCTCCACCGAGGTCAGTGGTGGCTATTTGCCTAACAAATTATCTAAAACTTAAAGTGTCTGGGTCCTCAGTCCCAGAGGAGAGTGCAGCCCTTGGGTGACACCTCCCAGTGACAGTATGCTTAGAGGGCTCTTGGACAGACATTGGACGGCCAAGCCCACAAGTCTACACCAGCTGCCACCGTGTCGATTCCTACACCTGCTTCTCTGGGCATCTTCTGGGTCTCCAGCTTCTGAAGCCCGACCCGTACGCACGGGCACTTTCTTCTGTGCCTTGTCATCGTGAGTCACTCGGGCTCATCTCCCAGATGGTTCCCTTTAACTCTCTCCCAGCAAGTCAGTCACCCCCGACACCCCCACTTCCCGTCTCCTCTTCACTTGCAGGAGTGGTTGGATCTAACGTCAGGCTCATGGGGTTCAAGGACACCAATTAGGAGCTGGTGGAAGTAGTTCCAATAACAGGTGGGCCACCCGGGCCAGTGGGAGGAGTGCTCGGAGGGACCCGCAGTTGGTTTGAATGTGGGAGCTGGGCTAGGAGCTGGGCTGGGAGTTGGGCTGGGGAGCAGGGAGGCCTCGTCTCTGCCCTGAGCACCTGGTAGAAAGGCTGAAAAAGTCCATTTGGGAAGAGTCAAGAGAGGGAACAGAGGGCAGGAGCGGGCTGCACCCGACCGGAAGAGGGCAGACCCTGTCCTCCTTCTCCAGCCTCCTGACCGCCTCTTTCTGCTCCACCAAAATCCCCTTCCAAAACTATCATAGGCCTGGAAGTCGGTGAAGCCTTGACTCCGAGGTGCAGCAGCAGGTGGGGAGGACTTGGCCGTCCTCCCCCAACCTGCGGGGCCAGCTCCGATGTGAGTCCCCCGCTCCCCGAGTGTCAACTTCATGTTCATAAGATGAAGCGTTGGACATGATGTCGTCTAAGGCGACTCTCTAACGGCTGTCCAACTTCTCATTTGGGGTTTTTTAATGATTGTCTTTTTTGAAGCTAATGGAACATACTTTTAACATAGACCATTGCTGCTAAACTTGAGAAGCATGAATGTGCGGGTACAGAACAGTTACACAGCCATCTGGAAGGTTTCCCCCTTCAGGTGAAGAGATGGTATAGGCCGTGATTAAACCTGGGCACTCTAGAGCCAGGTGATCCAGCTCAAATCCCACCTCAGCATCTTGCTAAGTGTGTCCCCATGGCTAGTTACTGAACTTCTATGGACCTCAGATTCTCTAGCTGCAATATGGGCCTGGGAGTGTGAAATGACAGTTATATAAAGCATAGGAGATCCACAACATGTGTTAGAAAACTATCACTTAGAGAACGTCAACTTCACTTTTTTATTAGTAAAATGCTCAGAACCATGTGGGGGAAATGAAATGAAGCCACCTATCCAGGTAAAGCTTGTGACACAGCTGCTCTCTTTGTCAGTGTTCAGTAATGCATACAGGCCGCACACGGTGCTTAGCTTCCCGGCCTCTGCGGGTTCCAGAACGCAGGCGAGCCCTCTTGTGCAACGGGGCGGAGAGGCAAGTCAGCTCTGTGCTGCCGTCTTCCTCCTGCGCTCCATGAGCATTTATCTCACAGTGACACCACGCTTCCCGTGTGGCATTCCTCAGTCTGGGTCCTCCACCCCACAGTTTCCACCCTCTGCCGAGGGCTGGGAGGGAGTTCTGACCTCCCAGGACGGCTTTCGGGCAGAAGCAGCCACGCCGGGCTCTGGCTCCCAGGTCTAACTTCCCGCTCCACTTACGGAAAATGACTGGAGGGGAAGAGAGGAAAGGACCACGTAATTGCACCTCTCCCCCAGACTCTTCTAACACGTCACGTCATTCCTAGCAGATTCTGTGCATTTCCACCATGAAATTCTGTGGCTTATGAAAATTTAATAGCAACGCAGGCTTCAAGAAGAGTAAACATTGAAACTCTGCACTTAACACAGATGGAAATTTTCCTTAGGAGAATAACACTCCACAAAGCAATTGACTCCCGGCATTTATGTGTGTGCAGATGATGAAAGAGAAGATGGAGTGCAGCAATTCACAGCAGGAAACAGCCCCTTGCAGCCCAGGCCTGCAGCACTGCCAACCCGGTGGAAAAGAGCAGCAGAGGGAGGCAAGTGGTAGGCTTCCCGCTCCATGCCCCACACCGCCCCCTCCATGATATAAGAAGGGAACTGTTGAGGTTTAAATCTGCAGAAGGAGACGCCAGCTCCTCTGTGGTCTCTCATTTCCCGACTGTGCGTGCTGCCCCTGGCCTGCTGTGGAGGTGATGTGCTGTCGTGAATCCTGCACATCAGAACATGGGAGACGCACGTAGCAGAAGCTCTAGGAAATGTGTGGCTTAGCCAGAAGGAAAGAAGGTCTGACTCTGATTCTTTTAAAAAAAAGCCTTATTTTCTATCACATTCTTCACATTCAAGTTCACAGATATTCAGGAGCCCAGGAGTGGGAAAAGGTGGCAGAGGGAACATGGTCACAGGGACACCGTCAGGGTCATGGTGTCCTGTGACCTCCTCTGTGGCACATTTGCCTAGTTGTACCTACCAGATTCGAGGTCTGTTAAGTGCCATGTAGAAAAGAAATGAAGAACACGGGCCCCTTCCTGCGTCTCAAGAACACAGGTCCACTCCTGGTTTTTTGAACTGCACTGGCCAGTCAGGGACCTCGTCCAGGTGCTGCAGTCAAGAGACCTCACTGGTGCCTGACGGAGACTGTGTTATGATCTCAGTCTCTACCGTTGCCCTGGTTCAGAAAAGGAGGCTCAGGGAGCACCACGAGGGACCCGAGTCTGGGGGCCGTGATCTTGGCTATCACTGCCCTTGGTGCCAAGGCTCGGGATGGTCGCCCCTCAAGCTGTTGGAGACCTCCTAGAAATCGATGCAGGTAAACCGGCAGCCACCGGAGGCCGAGAAAGCAGGGAGCAGAACCTCCTCCAGCCTCCAGAAACCAGTCTGCCACATCACGGCTTTAGCGCCAAGAGACCCATTTCAGACTTCAACCTTCAGAACTGTGAGGTAATGAACCTGTTGTTTCAGGCTGCTGAATCGCGGTGACTTACCGTGGAGGCCAAAGGACATTCGTGTGTAAGGCTCTTGGTCCAATGTATCCCAGACCCCCTTGTTTTGCAGATAAGAAAACAGGCCCAGAGAATTTGCCAACTTTCATGGAATCCCTGGGCTAGTTAATGACGGAGCTGGCAACCCAGCACCTCCTCTCCACTAAAAACCTTTCTCAGCCCTTGGTTTTATTAACTCATGAAATCACCAGCATGAGCTCCCGACAGCAGCTCTCATGCTTAGCGTTTTTCACAGATGAAGATAAGCTGCTGAGTTTGCACCTGGCATTTCAGCTCACGGTCACCAGACACAGTACTAGTTAGCGGAGGAGTCTGGGCCAATCATAAACTCTACTACAGCCTCAGAAGCTTTTGATCTCATTGCAACATGATAACTCTGAGGTCTGCAGGTCACTCCTCTTGTAAATAAAGAAAACACTATAGAGACTCCCTGAGACCTGTCAAAAGTACACGTCCAGCCAATTGCAAGCCCAAGCCTCTGACTCCCGTGACTCAGCAGGGCTCTCCGAGTCTCTCTGCTTGAGACACCGTAAGAGAAACCCAAGTCAGAGGGCAGAACTTCTGCCTTCAGCATGCTTACAGAGAGGCTGGGGCTAAACTTGGTGACACCCTTGGTGGCACCCTTGGTGGCATCCTTTGCAATTCTAGCCTCAGGGCAAGGCTACTCCTGAGGCCTTGACCCATCGCTGTTTGCCCTCTGGATGAAGCTGACGTCGTGTGGGGGAAGACCTGAGCTGCGTAGCTCATCTGTACTCCACGTATTAAGAGGGACCTCTGCCCAGCATCTTCCACCGGGGAGCGGGGAGCGGTCATGAATGGAAGCTGTTTTCACAGCCAATATGGTCGACCCTCAGGCTATTGGAGACCACCTAGAAATGGATCAGGTAAACAGGAGGCCGAGAAAGCAGGGAGCAGAGCCTCCTTCAGCCTCCAGACACCAGTCTGCCACATGGTGTATTTAGTTAGAGTGTACACTTACTTGGGAAGGCTGGTGGAAAGGTGATGGAGATCTGGGGGCTGCCCCAAGTCACACCTCGATGCCACTTGCTGTATGTGACAGGAATGCATAATTCTTGCCCTCAGAAGCTTGCTCCCTGTTGAAACAAACCAGAGAAAAAGCAAAAGGCTTGACAAAGCTGGGTGTGCAGGAGGACCACACAGGCTCAGGCAGCGCCTTCTCTGACTTCATGAAAAATCACACTCTGAAGGGTGCCTGGGTAAGTGAGGTGCAGAGCGCTCTTGGGTGGGAGAAAAGGCTGGCAGAGACGTTTGAATGCACGTATTTGAAGACAGAGAATGGAGAGAGCCCACGGTGTGAAGGACATAGGAACCCACCATCGCTAAGCTGGCTTCAGTGAGTCATTCACTTGTTTGACGAATTCTCACTGCCCACCAGCAAGTGGCCAGGCACTCCTGTCGGCACCAGGGACCCAGGCACGTAAACCCCAGGACCCGTGTTGCCTTGCGGCTCAGCAGCCCTGCCCCTCACTCCTGCCTGCAGAGAGGGGTTCCCATTTCAGGCCACCCTGCCAGCCACCGCGCGCGGCTCTGCTGACGCTGGGGCCGACACAGGAGCCCAGCTCCTCTCTGCTGAATAAATTACCGCCCCATCATCTTCATGCATAAAACATGGCATAGGAGGCCGGGAGAGGCCGGCCCTGGGCGGCTCGGCGTGGCAACGGCCTCTGGGTCAGCAGGGAGGGAAAGGGGAGGCAGGTTGCAGATAAAAGAAGTCAACGGAAACCTCAGATATAAAAAAAAAAGGAAGAGGTGGTTTTTCTTGTCTTTTTAATTTTTATGCGTCTGGACCTGACTTCCGGGATTGCTGAGAGGCCCTGGGCTGCCATGTCCTGAGAAGGCCCTAGGCCTGCTCTCCTGGGGACCATGGTGCTGCCCTCGAGGTTACACTGGATCCGAAACAGGCCATGGAGGGACCGGATCCGCAGGCGCCAGCTCAACCGTGAGTCCCCAGGCCTCGCTGGCGACGGCCCCAGCGCCCTCCCCTTGGGCCTCCAAGGCCCTCCTTGCTCTCCGTCCTCTTCCCTGGCCTCCTGTTCCCTGCCCACAGCCCTATCTTAATCAGGGATAAGCAGAGACGCTTTGTTTGGAGGGGCAGGCAGGGAGCCCCTTTCTCTTTATTTCTCCATCCAGAAGAAAAATACCAATGAATATCTCATCTGTCAGGGGACTTTGATTCGGAACCTTTGCGGGCTACAGTGAGGAGGCACCTTGAGGTCTGAGTCCAGCTGCGCCTGCTGGGCAGGGTGGAGGTCAAGACCTGCAGGTCCTGCCTTCTTTAAAGGACCCAATGCTGTGTTTCTTAAATGACCACGCTCTCTCGACGGTTCCCGTTGACAGGAGCTCTAGCCAAACAAGAGATTGTGGCATAGAGGCAATCTGAGGGAAAAGATAAAAGCTCTCAAATATACGCAAGGCCATTAGCCACTGCCTCAGTCCCTGAGGCTGAAGAGTTTTATTTATCTCAGGGGTCAGCAGATTCAGCCTCTGGAGGGACTTGCTTTATGGCAAAGAATAAGAGGGGCTGCTTGCATGGGGTGAGAGTAGTTTTCTTCCATCACATGAGAAAAGAGCAATGAGACCATGATGACCAGGAGGAGGCGGCAGGGAGCGGTGGGGAGTGTGGTGAAGGGAAAAGCGTGGCCGCCGTTCAGCACCGTCCCAGTGCTTCCAAGGGCAGCAGGTCCAGGTTGCCAGGTTTTCAAAGTGAAAAGCCTCTTGCCTAAATGTTGGCGTTGAATTCCTGCAGTTGTAAATGCCATAATAAGCAATGGTGTGCGTGGACCACCCGTTAGCAAGCAGCCGCGCTCTTTGTATGCCTAGTCCATCTTGTGCGTTAGAAGCCCCTGGTGCAGAAGTAAATAAAGATGACCAAGTGGGTCAGGAATGCGAGCGCGGCTTGGTCATGGTCCCCTGGTTTAGGAGCAGAGGGCTGGTTGGATTCCAGGCGGCGCCCTTGTACGAGGAAACATTTTGCTCCCAGAAACACATTTGTTTTTGTTTATTATCGTGGAAGCCGCTGGGAGCGACTCCTCAGCCTCTTCCTCCAGCTCTTTTGGAGGTTGCCCTGTGGCTGTAGGAAGGGTGCGTCAGAAGTGGGGCGCTGCTGGGAGTGGGGAGGGGGATCTGAGTGGCTGGGAACTGCGTGGACGTGAAGGTGGCCAGCAGTCCACAGCACACCGTCGCAGCGGGGGACACCTGCTTCATGGGGAGACGTGGCTTCAGTTATCAGCCAGGGGGCTGCCACTGTGCTGTTAGCTCTGCGCGGTTTTCAGATGAAACGGTGGCCTGATAACAGGCGTGTGTCCAAGGTCAAGGCTGAGCCACGAGGTCGTGACCTCCTGGGCTTGAGCATGGGAGGAAGGGTCAAGAGCCCAGCTGTGTTAGAGTCCTAGGAATCGGGCAAGGTCAGGTGATGTCCCGAGGGGGAGATTTTCCCGGCTCAGGGAGGACCTGTGCGGGTTTAAAGGCAGCGGAGAGAGAACAGGTGAAGGCCGCAGCTTCAGACAACGTCTAAAATCTGCTTCAATAACTTCCCCCGTCTCTGAGGTTTTCCCCGTCCAGCCTGGGGACCCAAGCGGTATTACCCTCAGTGTTACTTTGTCATTTTGAAAGTCAGTGAACTCCAGCTTCCTCAAGCACACAGGAGCGGTGCCTGGCCACGAGAGTGGCAGGCCGTGGCCCCCTTGCTCGCAGACTTTGCTAAGCGGCCACAGCTCCCCCCTGCCAGGGGCTGGCCAGCCGAGAGTCCCTGGTGATGCAGAGCCCTAGGCTGCCATCTCTAACCGATTGGGATGGCTCCTTAGCTGGAACTTGCGCTTGTGTGCTGCTGCTCCAGGACAAATCACTGGCTTGTGTGGAACCGTGTGCACGTGCTGCCCCAGTCTCCACGCCCTGGGAGTGTGAGTTAGCAGGTTCTCAGCTGCCTGGTGGTGGGCCGCTCTCCCAGTGCTGAGATGGAGGTGGGACCTGGGGCTGCAGGCTCACGCAGGGTCTTTCTCTCCGCTCTGTGATCACAGCCCCTTGTGGTTGCAGACTGAGGCCTGCTGACAGCTGCCACTGCCCACCTGGTAGCCCTGTCCACTCTGGCAGTTTGCTTCTTGAAGGCCAGCAAGAGAGGGCCTTTAGTTGCTTGCAATCTGTCCTTGACAGAGGTCGCCTGACTGGACAACCTCCCTGGGACTAGCTTAAAATCAACTGGTCAGGGACTTCAAGTGCATCTGCAAAACCCCTATCCTCACCATGTACCACAATCACGTCATGAAGGACAGTCCCATGGCCCTCACCCCCAGGTCTCGCTCACGCTCCAGGTGAGAGAATTATTCTGGGGGTGTAGACTGGGGGGTGAGGATCCTAAGGCCTTAGAACCCTGTTTACCACAAAACCCAATGTCACGTTTGCAATGGAGCCTGGGCCCCTGAGCTACTGAAAGCTTTGTTTTCTTTGCACTTTTCATTATGCAAATTTGTAAGCGCACAGATAAGCTGGGAAAACAGGAGGATGAGTTCCACGCACCTATCACTCGAGTTTAACGTCAATGTTTCCTCATATTTGCTTCATCTAGTTTCCTGCCAAAATATTTTTAAATAAATGACATGTATGATGACATTTCAACCCTCAGTATTTTGGTAAGAGCACCCAACAATGACATTTTCTACATAACCGCTGAATATTACTAATGTCCCCTAATGTGATTTAATTCATAATGCACATCCCGATCTTCCCAGGGAAAAAATCATTCTGAAGGGTCTTAGAGTCTCTTTTAAATACCTGTCTCCAGGTGACATCACTGCACCTGGTGTGCACATCCAAGGTCTGAGTTCTGTCAAAACTCTCCCCCTGCTGGGTGCAGCTCAGTGGTAGAGTGCGGGCTTAGCCTGCGCTGGACCCCAGGTTCCACCCCCAACACCGCCAACCAAAAGGCAAAACCCCGTATTTGGACTGAAGCCCCGGCTCCTGGAGCTCATCTCCCCTGCGCCCCGCGGTCTCCTTCACAGCCAGAGTCTGTTGTGAGATGCCTGGGTTGTTTCCAGCGTAGAGCAAGCCGACCGAGGTGGGAGAGCCGCGGTGCTCAGCCTTCTAGCAGTGCTGGCCTCTTAAAAGGGGCCATCAGAGAAAGGGAACCCGGGTTGCTGCGAAGACACAGATGTGACAGACGGTTGGACAGCCAGGAAGAGGCTCATCTGGCCTGAACCACTGCTCACCACTGACTGGACCCGCCCAGGTGTGAGGGTCCAGGCAGCAGCAGCTCCCCGCCTGGACTTCCTAGATGATGACCGCTGTGTCAGGCCGGCTCAGGAGTGAGGGGTGACCACTGGGGCGGGCCTAGACCTTCCTTCTTTCTTCAGCCTGACACTCAGTGCAGGTTACAGGAAAGAAAGCCTGAGTTTTGACGTCAGGGAGATTTGGCTTCAAATCCTGCTTCTGCATCGTAGGGTGGCCTTGGGAAGTTGTCCTGCCCCCTAAGGTCCACGTCAGCCCCAGAGGGTGGTGACGATGAGGCCGACCCCACAGAGTCACTAGGGCTGAAGGACCCATAGGAGCCACAGCGGCTGGCTCATGGCGGTAGCTAGTGGCACCCGTATCCTGCTGATGAGGTGGATCTGGACAACATGAGCAGGCTCCCCGGGGAGTCCATGCCAGAAGAGTCCCCTCCTCCTCAGCCTGCCAGCCACCCCACGTCCAGCTGGCTTGCGCACCCGCAGGAGGCAGCAGAGACGTGCAGTTGGAAGTTGCTGGGGGCCTCTCAGCCCGACTGCTCTGGGGAAGGGAAGGAGCAGTGTCCATCCGGCTCTGGACTCCAGGCTGTTTCCAGTCACGTGAACGCAGCAGATGATGGAGCCCACCTGGAGCGCCAGGCTTCTCCACATCTGGGCAGAGGTTGGGCACACTCCGTGGGCTCCGATCAGAGGACATCACTGGTCATTCTCCCATCTGGCAGGGTGCTGTTCTGCCCTGTGACCAGGCAAGAAGGGGGCCTGCCGGAGCAGCAGTCTGGGTGGAGCCCGGTTCGAGGCCCGTGCCCTGCACAGCGGTGCTATGTGACTGTGAGGGGTCCTGGGATGGCAATTCTCACGAGGAGTAAGAAGCCCGATGCTCTTCTGCAGCCTGTGTGGGGCTCTGGGAGGCGTGGGAAGGGTCTTAGAGTCTCTTTTAAATACCTGTCTCCAGGTGAGAGAGCGAGGCCAGGGACAGGGCAGGCAGGCCCCGTAGGGTGAGGCGAGGAGAGCGGGAGTATGCCTGGCATCGCATAGCAATCCCCTCTGGGTAGGCCGCCCCTGGCAGAAGCCCCTGCTGTGGGGACACCCTCAGCCACTTCCACAGCAGCCCAAGAGGGAAGAGGGTGGTTTCCATCAGCTGACCTGCTGGGCCGCAGGGCTTGACTCACAGGTGTGGCCTCAACAGCACTCCTGTTTCTCCCCGGCACCTGCCTGTCGAGTTCTGCAGGAAGCCCCTGGTTGCACATCGAGCTTTTCTTTCTTTCTGCTTTCAATTTGTGCTAATTAGTTATACATGACAGTAGGATGCGTTTTACACACCGCACAGAAACGGAGCACAATTTCTCCTTCCTCTGGCTGAACATGGTGCAGAGTCACACCAGGAGTGTGATCATACAGTATATAGGGTGACAATGTCTGCCCCATTCCACTGGCCTTCCATCCCTGCATCACTCCCCGCTGCACAATCCAAAGGGCCTTCATTCTCCCCGCACCCCCGCCCACTCCATTATGGATCAGGTCCGCTTCTCGGAGAAAGCAGTGGATCCTTTGGGTTTTTTAGGTTTAGCTTATTTCTCTTAGCAGGATATTCTCCACTCCATCCATTTACCTGCATATGCCATGATTTCCTTCTTCTTTAAGCCTGAAAAATATTCCATTCTGTATGTATACCACACTTTATTTATCCGTTCATCTGTTGAAGGGCATCTAGGTTGGCTCCATA